GGTTGAAATGATGCAAAGAACATGTGTGTGTGCAAGTGTAATGGTAAAGCAAAGAACATGGCAGCAAACACATGGCAAAGAAAAGAATGTTGCAGCACACGGCATGGGCAGAAATTGTGTGTGTTTTGTGGTTGAAATGATGCAAAGAACATGTATGTGTGCAAGTGTAATGGCAAAGCAAAGAAACATGGCAGCAAACCCACATGCAAAGTGGAAGAAAAGCACAAGGCATGGGCAGAAAATTGGTGTGTTTTGTGGTTGAAATGATGAAGCATGTGTGTATAAATGTAAAGGGGAAACATGACAACTCATACCCACACAAGCTGCACATGCAAAGGAAATGGAGTGGTCCTCTCTCAAGCCTATAAATACCACCTCCCATATTCATCACAGAGAACAGATTTTGATCCCTTACCTTAGCCGCACCTCTCCATCACCATTCTATAAAAATTCAGCCAAACACCACCCTTAGCCACACCACCCATCAACCCTAAACCTTTCCATACCATTCCCCATCCATTCTACACCATAAAAACCACCCAAAACCTGTTCTAAATCTCTTATGCCGTGACTATTGCAAGGAAGGAAGGAGAAGGAACATCTTGTGCCGTGCCTATGCCCAAGCCTTGGAAGTGTTGGAGCGTTTCTAGGTGTTTTCTATCTTTGATTTCAATGTTTAATTTAAGTTATCTTTGTGTAATTGCGAGCATGAGGAACTAAACCCCTCTTAGTTAAGGGGTGATTCGAAACTATGTTCATGCTTACAATATGATTTGATTACATCCAGTTGTGATTCATAAGTTGTGAATTCAATTTACTTATCCGTTCGTATAAAAACTGATTTGTGTATGTTGGTTGAGAGTGCACGCTTAATTTTCATGCATGAATTTGACGCTAGAATATAAGGGAGTTTCACCTAATCGTTATGAACTTATATTCACAAGTAGTGAAGGTTGCTAGTCACAATCACGTTAAGTAAATTCTTGGCATAAGTTTCATGCAAATCATAGTAACGAGTGCCTCGTCAATGCTTATGTTTTTCATAGAACTTAATGATTCTTGCTTGTATCTCTATTATGCAATTCATGTAGGGAACTTGTAGGGAATGTTTTGGGTTGTCGTATGCAATCATCCAACCTAATAACTTGTGGAAAAACTGAGGGTTAATTAGTGCAATTCACGGTTAATTTGGGGCGTTAAGTATTCATAGTTTATCGAAAAGCAACTGGAAATCGTTTTGTATGCAAGTGTGACATGTGTGGAGAAGAACCTCCTAGCTAGCCTTCCATCCGTAAGTTTCATTCAAATTCATTTACAATCTGTTTTGTTTTACAAAGTTTGTTTTGTTTTCAAATTCATCAAGAACCAATCTCCCATTTATTTCAAAATGTTAGATTAGTCAGTAATCACTTTAGTTTGTGTTTTTAAGTGTATTGAGTTAAGTCATAACCCAATTTCGTCCAATTTAGTGTTAGGTGTTCAAAACTGCCCAGAAAGTGTTTTTAAGGCAGTTTTGAGTGTTTATTTGCTGTTTTGAATCTTTTTGTTTATCTTAGTATTTTAAAGTATAGTTTTGCATTCTTTGAGTCTAGTTTAGTGTTTTAAACTTTGTTTTTACGTTTTCAAGTCAATTTCCAAGTGATTTAGCAATCCCTCCTAATCCCCGGCCTAGAACGATCCCTACTTACATTATTTACTACAATTGACAAAAAGAGGGTTTAATTTGTGTGCTTATATATTTCGCATCAAGCCGCAACTTGTGAAAATCACTGTTGACATCTCCGCATTGCGCGGTGAAATGAGCCATATGTTCTAACGAGGATAAAGACGATTCTCCAGCGAAAAGATTAAAGTCTGGAATTTTGAAACCTTTAAGATATTCGAACCGTTCCATGTAAGCTGGATATGGATAGATGAATTTAGGGAACTTCAGCCCCTTTTTCATGGCCGAATCAATTATCCGCTGGACCTCGGTTATATCGACGGACGTTACTTCCACCCTCTGGTCGGGTCCATCTGTCCTGCTACTCGATCCTCATTTCTTTTCTAAGTCAATTGGCTTGAACCGAGTAGGAATTGGCTTGGCCTGTACTACTGGCAACATATTATTCCTTGGTGGCAATTGCCGGGAAAAATCGAATGACCTGTCGTCGCAGACCTTGCTAACTAGTATTTCAAGCAATCTGTTTTGTACCTCACTGTTACTGCGTATCACGTCGTGCAGCTTATCGATTCCTCGACTAAACGTCTGTTCAACCGCCCTAGACTGTTCGTCCAGCCGTCTTCGAAGAAACGATCTTGTTGGTGGATCAGAGCCTTTACCACTATCCCTTCATTGAGAACGCATGTGTTTTTGTTAGGGATTTCTAGATTGCAAAGCTGACCACCGAGACCAACTTCCTTTTCTCGGCGAGTCGCGCTTGTGGACTCAGGTGTCACGGCACTAAGGGGATTCTGTGCCTGTGATACACTTTGTCCTATGTTCTGAATTGGCAAATCGGTTGTTGATTTCCCATAGCTGTTTTCTTTTTAACCGATCGTGTTTCAATTGGCATGAACTTCGTAGTTTAGCACTGGGTCCCATTAGGCGTGCCAAAATGTTGATCCTAAAAACTACCAAGCCTACGTGGCGCGCAGACTGAGTAATCTATGAGCTAACTACGTCCTTCAGTTAAATGCGGGGCGTGCCAACTCGTCGACCGAGCTCGACCGAGGAGTAAAATATGTTGATGTTGAGTTGGGTGCGCGGTCGACTTCTTCGTCTTGCGATTGCGACCGAGGAAGGAACACGTCTCAGCCTCTTAGGTTCTCGAACCTGAAGACAAGGCTACTATTCTTACGAAGTTCACGAATCGTCGTCGTCGTCGGATTCGGTCACAGTGATGGTATTCGTCAGAGTAAACTCACGTCGAATAGACACCAAGGTGTAAGGGCACAAATACTCAAAGCGGATATATGTCTTAACAATAAACGTGGTTTAGCCGTCGGAACGCCAAACTCTAAATCCCACTTGAGAGTATCCAATCATAAACCAACTCGGCGTGCAATGTGCCGAGCCTAATCAACTGTAACACCTTACTTCGCCGAGAAGGCTAATGAAATGACCTCAACCAATAAGGATTCGGAAATCCTTCTCGACCGAGACTTGGATAGATAACCAGTCACCCTGGACGCAGTGCTATCTATGCCGACTGAAGATGCTGCGAGACTGGTTGGTCTTACGGTGACAGTGCTATCTATGCCGATTAAAGATATCACCGGTTGCCTTCACAGTGATGTTTATCTAAACTGAAGGTGTGTTGGCGAAAAAAGGAAAAGGAAAAAATCTCAAGGTTGTTGAGAGAATTTGCACAATGCAATTGTGTGTTGAATTGGATAGACTTGAACGATGCACAAACTCTTCTATTTATAGCACCATGCACTTTCTAGACTGAGTTAAAACCCTACTCGGATTAGGATTTCTTCTTCTCATCAAACACCATCTCGACTAGTCCTATTTTCACTATGACTTTGAACCTAGTCCTTTATCAAACCGGATTCACTTTTATCCATATCTTGCCTAGACTCCTTATTGTGCCAGGATTCAATTACTCGTCTCGTAGCATGACTTCACCAACCTAGGTTAGGAAGCTCATGAACTAAACGATCCACGGTAATCTTTCCGTTAGGCCTTCTGGGCTGAGAATACATCTCGGCCCAAACCAATATTTTAGGCCCAAACAGGATGCATTACTAGTAGAGTTGAAGCTTTTACAAGAGTATTTACCAAAAGAAATAAAGACATCCATTGACATATTGAACTACTTGAAGAGGATGTGTTGTTTCCCGATTGCAAGCATTGCATACAAGATTTTGTTGATTGTACCTGTTACCGTTGCATTTGCAAAAAGGAGTTTCTCAAAGTTAAAGTTATTAAAATCATACTTGCGGTCAACCATGTTGCAGGAAATATTAAATGGACTTGCTTTGATATTGATTGAAAGTGATTTTTTAGACAAAATTGATTATGAAGGCTTAATTGATGATTTTGCAACAAAGAATGCACGAAGAGCCATCTTTAAGTGAAACTTCAATGCTAGACTTTTTTAAGTTTTATTTATTTGGTTTCTTTAGATTGAACTTATTGTTAGTTATAAGTACTATGATTACTTTGTAGCTTTCTTTACATTTAATAATACTTAGAAACAGACGGTTAGTTAGTTTTAAAGTTTATTTCGATACTGCTTTTTAGCATCAATACGTTGTTCAATTTTTTTTTAAGATGTCTTATAAGAAGGGTCACTTTTTATGAATTTCGCACAGGACTTCCGAAATATCAGAGATGACCTTAAAAAATGGTAAGCAAAATGGATTTTTACAAAGGTTAGATCTTGCATAAAACGCGTACAACTGAGTGAGACGTAATTGTTTACAACACTTGCCATCACTACACAGAAATCATATCTCCAAACCCACTCGAATGGGGAGTATGAGTGTAGTTTGGTTCATAAAGAATTTGAACTTAGGACGTCTTTATTTTTATTTTTAAATACACGATCTATTTCAAACACATTGTTGATAAATTGATATCTCCCTACAAAACTCGGTATTATATGAGACAGTTGTGCACTTCTGCTCCGAATCAAATATTATTTCAACCCAGAATTAGATGCTACAAAAAATGAATCCGTGAGAGTTGGAATTTGAATAGAGGTTCTATACCTTTTCCAAAGGAATCGCACCGTCTCAAAAGTCAAGCTAGTTACACTATAATATAAACTTTAAAATTAAAAATTCCCACCTAACGTTGATTCAACTCCCCCTTTAAAACAAAAATATTACACAACTTCCCATCCATATGAAAAGAAGTCGACCAATAGGAATCCATTATTAGTCAATAGCGATCTGCGTCACCAATGTAAGATCAAATCACAACCGGACATTCAAAGGGAGAAAACACAACTAAGCCCCTCCTTGACCGTTAGATACAACTAAGAGAAAACACACGGATACTGAATGGCATCCGTCCGATCCCCCAGCCACTTTACAATCACACCCTATATATACGCCTTAACCTGTCTAACGTTGGAAACTTTTGTTCGTTCGAAGAAGGAGAAGACCGAGACGAACAGAGCGCGAATCAAGCAGAGGTATGAATTTTGTTTTAAATTTAATTAATTTTTCTTACGTGAATCAGGGTCTGCTTTTCGTTTTCGATTCCGTTTTCTTTCGATTTTGATATGGATTTAGGGTTTTTTTTAAAAAAAAAAAATATATTATCGGAGATTTAGTCTGTGATTTAGGGTTTTACATTGCTATCGTATTTTTATGTGAAGATCTAGGGATTTGACATGGTTGTGATATTTCAGTGGTATGATTTAGGCTTTTTCGTATTTGAATGAAAATATTATGGGGTTTTCGTTTAGCAAATAATTTGGGATTAATGAAAAACCTAATTTTATTAGTTCGATTTCTGTAAACGTGATCTTGATCCGTATCTGTAGAAGGTATGTTTGGTTGCTTGGAAAACTTGTTGCATAATTTTGGCTGAACAAATAGAGGGTAAGAATTCGGTAAAATGAAAGGGGTGGTTGTGATTAAATATATGCTGACCTTCGTAATGCTGTGTTTGCAGATGGCCCGTACCAAGCAAACTGCTCGTAAGTCAACTGGAGGAAAGGCTCCCAGGAAGCAGCTCGCAACCAAGGCTGCCCGTAAGTCTGCACCAACCACTGGAGGAGTCAAGAAGCCCCACAGATACCGCCCGGGTACCGTTGCTCTTCGGTAAGTCAATTGATCCTCTTTCTTATGTTGTTCATTGTTGTTAAAGTTTTTGGGTGTTGTTTCTTGATCATAGTCTGAATTGTGTTTTGTTTGGAATGTTTTGTGCAGTGAAATCCGTAAGTACCAGAAGAGTACTGAGCTGTTGATCAGGAAGCTGCCATTCCAGAGGCTTGTTCGTGAAATTGCCCAGGACTTCAAGGTATTTATTGTTTGTAACTTGTTAAGTCGATTTGATTATGTGCCTCGGAAGTGAATGCATTCATCAATTTCTATTTGGATTTTGTGTTTGCAGACTGATCTGCGTTTCCAGAGCCATGCAGTGCTGGCACTGCAGGAGGCTGCTGAGGCTTACCTGGTGGGTCTGTTTGAGGACACCAACCTTTGCGCTATCCATGCCAAGCGGGTTACCATCATGCCGAAGGATATCCAGCTTGCCAGGAGGATCAGGGGTGAGCGTGCCTAAGCAACCCGCCTGCCTTGCAATGGAGCGGGGTTAATTGTGGGGTGGCTGCAGACGGGATTGAAGACTGATATGTATAATGCTTTTGCGGACAGAAGGTGGTGTTTTTTTGTGATAGGATGATATAGGAGGTTAGGGTTGGGGACAAGATGTGGTCAGATATTATGGTTATAGGCAAAACTCCTTTTAAGATCTGCGGCTGCTGCTTTTGGTTGGTTTGTTTCGTAGAATATGAAGGACCTAGATGTGTTTAATTTGCGTTTTTTTGTTCATTTGGTTGTCTGCAGCCTCACTATTGAACAATATTTCGTCTAATCTAGTTTAGTTTGTTGTTTCTCCATGTTGCTTTTTATGGTATTTGCGTTGGATGATTGACGATGAATGAATGTTCCGATCTCGGCACTGTCCGGATCATCGCAATATTTGAATGAAACGGATGTGTGCGCCTTGATTCTTACTAGAAAGTTGATCAATTGTGTGACCCCATAATATAGAAAACAGTTCGAGCGGCGGTGCCTTCAGTTTTAGCTGTAGTTTCCAAGTTTCGAACAAAAGTGGACCTTTTGGAAGCCCATCTCTCTACCGTTTTCAAACGAAGGTGGAAGCTTGACAAACTCCGTAACATCAGTCCCCGGAACAGTTTCCTGCGCATGTCGATGGAGTAAGAAGCGGTCTTGAATCACTAAGAGCATCTCCAATGGGAGTCCTTGAATAAGGACTTCCACCACCACTTTTGAGTACTTATTTAAGAACTTGAATGAAATTTTTATGTTCTTAATGGAATATTGCCTTCAATGTAAGAGTCTTTATAGTAGAATTCCTAAATTTGAGGTTTTTATAATTTTATGTAATAATTTGATTAGGTGCATATTTTTTGTTCATGTTAAACTTTTTGGAATTAATTTAACATTACATTCACATAAAATATTTTTATGAACATTTTAGTAAAATAAAATTCAAATTCTGATACCAAATTTTTTTCTTCACAAAAACGTAATTAGAATTGCTTCATATTATGCCTTGCAAATTGATTAGATACGTAGTTGGGCATGTAATAAAAAATAAAAAAAACAACTAGAGTTCATATAGTGTAATGGTGAAAATATAAGGAATAATTGGTTGACATGGAAAGACGACATATCTTACTATTAATTAAAAGTACATTAATTGTATACCTAATGAACAAAACATTAACTTAATACTTGGTTTAAATAATTTGATTTAAGTAAATAAAATTTTATGTTTCAGCTTCGATTAATAGTAATTTAATCTTCTACTCTAGACATTTAAAATATTTTCTAAACCATAAATTATATACTTTAACCTATATAAGTATTTGACTAAAAATGATATTCTTAGGGAATTCCCCAGGTCCAAAATTTCCCATTCTTCATGCAAAAATCCTTATGGAGTTCATGCTGCATAGCTAGGTTTGGTTCGGTATTGGATACCAAACCGAAATTCTTGTCCCGATTCCCAAACCGAAGTTTTTGGGAATCCCAATTTCAAGACCAATTCCAAACCAAATTTTCGGGAATCCCAAAATAATTTCGAGATTTCGGGACAAATCAGGAATCTCGAATAAATTCACACAAAATTGTTGGCAGACTGCTACAATTGTATATGATATGCATCTGCAGAACTTAAGACACCCAAATTCCCAATCCAATTCAATCTGCAGAAACTAATTGCATCTGCATAATTCAATCATCTCAAAAGAAACTAAAGCATGAAACTTGCAACAATCGCACAACAAATCATCATAAAACATTGTAGCCAACCAAGATGCTAACTTCTTTGAGAATAAAAATATAGACCATCCAAACATCCAAGTAAATGAAATTAAGCCATAAACCACATAATTTCACATAAATTTTCTTTGCAAAAACATCCACTAAAATATGTTCATCACAATTCGAGCCCCCAATTTGAAACCCTAACCTTATTCGAAAGCCGAGCCCCAATTCGAGACCCTAGCCCCCAATTCGAAACCCTAACCTTATTCGAAACCCACATAGAGAATCGAAAGTCTGGATGAAGCCGTGAGGTGTGGTGGTGGCCGGAGTGGAGAGAGTTTGTTGAAGTGAGACATTGAGGGTGGTGGATGCTGAGCTTCGAATTCCATGAGTGACCTGAGACTGAGTGAAGGGACAAAGATGAGAAATGAGAGAGAGTGAGTAGGGATGTGTCGGCTATGGTTTGGATTTAGTTGAAGGAAGGTGGCTTCTGCCTTTGTGGGTTGCAGATAGAGATAATTCGAGAGAGAGAGTGACACACCCCGACCCGAATCAGGGCATGATGGCCGACACGTAAGGGTGACGTAACCATGTGCACAATGCGAAAGCAATAATGATGTTGGTACCACATATATTGGGCCTCATAATTTGACACATTGGCCCCATTACCCAGCCCATTATTATGTAAAATGAGGAGCCCGTTATTCTATAAAAGGGGACTCCTCCCCCCTCACAAAAGGGACTCAGATCTCAGATCAGGGGATACCCCAAAAACATACAAGCCACAAAGCTCACAGAGAAACTTTCTCTTTCTCTGGGGGACTCCCCCTCACACTTGTAATCCATACATTCATACAGAGAAATACAATGAACATCAGTGTGGACGTAGCCTAAACATTGGGGTGAACCACGATACATCTTGTGTTCTTTACTTTCTTGTAGATTCATGGTCGGATTTACGTTGTTCCAAGACTTCCCGGTTTTGTGCATCAATATTTGGCGCCGTCTGTGGGAATCGACACGAAAAGCTATGTCGATTCTCTCTTAATTTTTCATCTCACCATCGTGAATCTGCACAACCGAATAACCCAGAACCCCCATCCTTGGGCTGTTCAAGAAAAACCTTTGCAGATTTCTCTCTCTCTCTCTCTCATCAGCCACTCTCTCTCTCTAGAAAATCCGAAAAGAGCTCCCATTTGTTTACTTCTCACGCTGACTCCGACAACAACCACCTGGTGGATGCTAGCAATCGCGACCGCCACCTCTCCTTCGTCTCCTTTTCCTCGGCCACTCTCTCGCAACTCATCCTTCCCTTGCAGACTTTGAATTTTAGCAGTGATGTTGGTGCCATCTCTGGCAACCAACTCCACGTCACCTCATCCTTCTTCACTTGCGACTAAACGCCACTCTTCACTCTAAAAATTAACCAAACGGAACAAATGTGTTGCTTTCTAGTAAGAGAGGGAGAGATAGACCATGTCGTCGTAGAAGCAACGGCGGATCTCCTCGTTGATCGCGGCCTGCAATGTGGGCGAAACGACGTCTAACGAGTCAATCGTCGTCGACCTGGACGGGACGATGCTCATCTCCCGGAGCTCATTCCCTTACTTTATGCTGGTGGCTATAAAAGCCGGAAGTAAGCAGCAGAAGCAGAGCCCTTTGGGAGATACAAAGCCATTTTTGAGCTTTCGTTTACTTCCGGTCCTCGGCAAGAGAAGACGGCGATGAATCCCGAGGTGCCCTAAAACCTTTGGGTTTAGGGTTTCGGATTTGTAGTTGCTTTTCTCTGTGTGTGGATATACGTTCGATCAGAGTGTTGACGGAGACGACTGCGATTTAGGGTTTTGCAAAGTACAAGAAAAAGTCTTTCTCCGTCGCTGCATGCTTTTCTGCTGAGAGATGAGGCAATGGTAAGTTCTAATCCGGGAGTTGTTCGTGCTGTTCAGGTAGGTTCTTACTTTGTGACCCAGTACTATCAGATTCTTCAAAAGCAACCTGATGTTGTTCATCAGTTCTACTCTGATGGAAGCTCCATGATTCGTGTCGATGGTGATTCCACAAAATCTGCTGCCGGTATACTGGTTTGATGTTTCCTGTTTCAAAACTCATGCACTGCGGATTCTGAAGATGTGAGAGCTTGGAGGTATTTGCTCAGCGGAGAATGGTAGCATTCAAGATGTAGCAAAAGCTGAAAAGGAAAGACAGGCGGCAGAAAGCGATCCTTCAAACCAGCCAGCCAACGGAGATTAACACAACTGACCTCAGATGGGTTCTTCCATCAATCTCCTGGCAATTGCTCAACTCTTTCCGTTAAGCACTCACCAGTGATCTGATCGGAGTCTCATTCAACAATTGGGAAGCTTACAAAAAGCGATCCTTCGAACCAGACAACCAGCGAAGTTGAACACAATCATGATGTTAGAAATCGATCCTTCAATCATGATGTTAGAAAAAGAAAAAGGAGGATGTGCTAAACGTGGGTTGTACTATGATGTTGTTGAGAGAATATTTAAAAAAAAAAGAAAAAGAAAAAAAGAAAACAGAAAAGAATAAACAGAAACAAAAGCAAAAGCAAAGCAGAACAGAAAAGAGAAAAGAAGAAACAGAAACAAAAGCAAAAGCAAAGCATAAAGCAAAAAAAGATAAAAAGAAATAGACATAAATGCGATGGTGATGACATGCAGAAAAGGGAATTATGGGCGTGACCCATTGAGCAGAGGGTTGGATTTATTTTAATGATGTGATTTGTTTTTCTTATCTTTCGGAGACATCTGTATAACCCCATCAGAGGGTAATAAAAAAAAGAAAAACGGTAAGCCCAAAATAATGGGTTGGAATGTTATGTGCAGGGCCAAGGCCCATATGCCCAAAAGAGTATGTCCAGTACTTCAAATTTATTCGGCACCCTGCCGTTATTATCACTAACCAGATAATCAAGAGTACGTCCAGTACTCCAAATTTATTCGGCACCTTGCCGCTATTATCACCAACCAGGTAATCAAAAGTACGTCCAGTACTCCAAAATTATTCGGCACCCTGCCGCTATTATCACCAACCAGGTGATCAAAAGTACGCCCAGTACTCCAAAATTATCACCAACTAGGTGATCAAGAATACGTCCAGTACTCCAAATTTATTCGGCACCCTGCCGCTATTATCACTAACCAGGTGATCAAAAGTACGCCCAGTACTCCAAAATTATTCAGCAACCTGCTGCTATTATCACCAACCAGGTGATTAAAAGTACGTCAAGTACTCCAAAATTATACATGAGCATCACTCATGTCAATCATATAGGAACATTCATGAGCATCACTCATGTCAATCATACATAAACATTCATGAACATCATTCATGTCAACATTCATGAGCATCACTCATGTCAACATTCATGAGCATCACTCATGTCAATCAGCTTCATTTACAGAGCTCTAGCTTCGAAAACTTCATTTACGAAGCTCCGACTTCAAAGCTGCATTTACAAAAGCTCCAGCTTCAAAGCTTCACTTTCAAAGCTACACTTACAAAGCTTCAGTGCATGGTATACAAAGACCGCCTCCGAACAACCGCCACTTCGGCCCATACATGGATTGAATTTGAAGTC